TGAGCAAAGAAGAAAAAATTAAAGATTGCAAGAAAAAAGATTTTGTTTACAGCAACCACCTGTTAACATGATGAATTGAGGGGTAATGATAAAATGTTGAGTGAAGTATTGACAGGAGTATATCTTATTTGAGTGTCCTGTTTTTTATACATGTACATGATCATGAACCTATGTAGGTCTTTGTGGCAGGGAGAGAAGTCATGGGCCTTGGCAGAAGTAACCTTTCCTTTTGTCTAGATGTACATTGTCGAGCTACGACAAAACCACCTGAAGCGTGTCGGAGCTTGAAAGAAGAGAACCAGTTTTCCTTTGTATTGTGTTTACCACAAAACTGTCCGATTATCCTCACAGTCAGAGGGTCGACTGAAAGGGTTGATGTGTTTTTAAAGACTAGCCATGGTGCCTAAAGTTATGAGTAGTGTCCTCTGATTTGAACATTGATGCTTCCTTTGTTTGAGAGCATTGATGAGGAGATGATGCCTGAGGGCTTGGAGACTCGGTTTCATCAACACAAAATGACTAGATGGGCGTAGATCAGATGTCAACAGCACTGTCTCAACAAAAGGTCCCAAACTTGTAGAATATTGACAGAAAAAGAAGTTCTCTTACATGTATTTTCATGGCCAAGTTTTGTCACAAATTCAAGATATCGTAGGAAGATCATCATAATTTTCCTCTTTGACATGAAATCGGAAAACAAATTGATAGCACAGTTTTTGGTACTTAAATACAAAGTTAATCTGTGCTATGTTGGTTAGTTTTAGTAGATAATGTGTGGTACTCTGAGGTACATGACCCCAGGAATGTGTTTGCAATGTGTAAGGTCTCTTGCATTATGATATTGTCGATGCCACCAAGGGATATTTTTGCATCTCAAAGCAGTGACGGCATTCCTATGTCAGTTCTGTAGATCCAATAATACTCAATTATTATAGCTCAGACAAGGAGCCTATTCAACCATGTATTTGGGACAGATTGTGAATATAATACATGATATAATCCTCGGCTCATAATAAGGGTGGGGACAAATCCTATGTTATCCTGAAGAATTATCGACTATGCTATTGTTTGATAACTCAGACTTGTGAGAAGAAAAATTGTTATTATACACCTTATTTCAAGATATAGTGTTTTGGATATGGTATATGCTGTATCATCTGTCGTGTTGGCATTCTCAAAGTTTAAATTGTTGAGAGATATGTTCATGACTGAGATACAAACTACGACATTGGGATGGGATGAAAGTGTGCAGGGGCTTTAGAGATAGAAGTGTAACATTATAGTGGCATGTGTTTTCAATGAGATCTTTCTTACCTCCTTGTGATATAAGTCCGGGCAAATTTAAAGGTATTCAAATCTATTTCTATAAGATATCTATTAGTAAGTTATTGTGCATCATCCATACTGATGGTGCATCAAGCATGTGAGGCCACCTAGCAGCAGTTTAATATTGCAACAAGATGACTTGTTCTTGTTAAATGAAGTAGAGAAACCACTCCTTTTGTCTGTCAGACAGGCAGTATTGTACTGTGTGGAAGGATGTATTTGTGGGAACAATTGGCAGCCACTGACACGACTGGCTCATAACTTTTCACCCCTGATAGGTTTGGGCAGACTTTAGTGTGAGCTGGGGACCAAATCCTGGCTGCGGTCCAAAGAAGCTGTGTTACTAGGACTGTTCTTTAGCCACCTGTTCAATCATTGCCTGTGGTCGGGACTAACAACAACTGCTGCCCCTTGGGCTCCACTGATATAGCATCCTATGGTCAGGTTGGGAGTCCCTCCTGCCACTGATACCCACACCCCAGGGTGCTTTTCTCAGGACCAAGGTCAAATAAGGTGCTGTAGGAACCACCAGGCTGTACTTGTCTGCTTTAGGTCCCTCCAGTAACATTTGGTAATAAACAATGTGTCAAACTCTATATGTTTGGAAAAACGCACCCCGCTATTCTGTCTGGGCAGTGGTGTGACAAACCGTGTGTTGTTGGCATGTTAGAAATGTTTTCAGCTACCACAGAACCTGTAATCAGGGTATCTATTGGATAAAGCAAGGAGGTCAGAGGGCAAGCTCTGCAGATATCAAAGATAGCAGAATCTTTCAGGTTTTGAGTGTATGGTGCGGCAAGCTATATTTCATATACCGGTAAATGCCACACCAAAGTTGAATAAATAATTGCTTATTTCATTTAACAACAGTAATGTAGTGATGACCAGTCACTTTACTTTCCTCCTCAAAGCCAGCCTGTCTCAGTCTAAACAAAATAACATGTCCCATCTCTTATCTCTAGTTTTCATCAGATATTAAAATCTTTCTTCCCCGACGATCATGGATTACCTGCATTCCAAAGAATGCACCTTGTCTGCCCCATTGTTTGATGTATCCGATGATTAGGAAATATCTCCACGGATGGCTCTGCATTGCTTAGTCAGGCGGACAGGACCAGAATAATCCGGCCGTTGTCTTTCATCCGTGTATATCCCATAGATAAAGTAGTTATGAGGGAGGAATGTCGGCCTGAGGCAGAATTTCATATTTTTCATACAGTGATGACATACCTGTCCAACCTGTCAGCACCGGGGAATGCAGACAGTGTGTTCACCTGGTCTCCTTCACGTCCGGACAAGGCCAGCATCATTATCAATCATTATTCATAATTATGTAATCATTCTCAAAAGTGGCTCCTTTGTTTTTAACTGTCTAATCATTTTTTATTGTTATAAAAGACACAAAGGAACTTGTTTAATCAAGGCCTTGGTTTAATGAACGTCTGCCCTTGGGCTGATCTTTCTGTCACAAATTTTTGCAATGGGTGGGTACAGAGTGAAAAATGTTCATGTCACTCCCATTTCTGTATTCATGCAAGTATTTTTTCACTGTTTTATTGTAACTTTCATCACACAGATTTACTTCTTCCCGGAGCTTTCCAGAGTTGCAGGTCCTCCCCCTGAGTCTGATAATGAACCAGCCTTATTTAATATTCATGTGGAGTTATGGATGAATGGAACAAAGGTGTACTACTGGCCTTGCAGTTGTGCAGTTAGGCTTTCTTTCAGAGCAGGTCTCATTATGAACTTGATCCACAATGTAACATGCTGGGATATGATAGGCACATGCACATTATATCATAAATTATATGCTATGATTAATAAATGGACAACGACAATTAACTTGTACACAAAATTAGTCAGATGATCTTCCAAGCTAAGTTAAACAAGAATTTCCATACCTATAGTGGTCACCTGATAAATGAAACTATATTGCCTAAGGTGTAGCCAAATTTTAACCTCCTTGGTCACAACCACATGTCCCATGGGAATACAACAGGGCACACAAACAAACGCACCATTTAACACCTTGGCACAAATCAACTGGGCATTGAAGGCTTGAGGCCCAATTAGTCAAATTGACCATGGAATACTCAGCATTCTCTTTATTTGCCGTTGTACCATCTTACAAAATGTAATTAAAGTGAAAGTGCTTAATTGTGACCTGATATTGATAACACCCTAAAAGTTTGACCTCAAAGCTTTTAAAAGTCGCTAATTATACATGTAAGTTCTGGATAATCTGTGATTGGTTGTAACAATCATCAAGGTAAGGTTTATTTCATATACCCTGATACACACATTGTATCTGTCCATTGGCACCTTCAGATTTTAAACTGACCAATCAGCAAGTGTTCATGAAGTTTGAAGTATAACCACCAAAAAGTGACAAGCTGTTGAGAGTCATTTCGTCCATGGTCTTGGAGTGCTAAATAATAGTGTGTACAATACACAGATTTCTGCCCAATTTACTCATATCCTTTTCTGTTTCGTGCTTTTTTATTAGGCCAGGGGAGTGCACATCTGCCACATCATCAACAGAAGGCTGGAACAACATTTCTTGAAAGGAGCTGGAAAGGTCTAGGCATTATGGGATAGGAATTTAAAGGTGAGTCAGTTAAATCCATCTGTGCTGCATCTCTCTGCAGCGCGGTAAACCCGCGCATGTAGGCTTCTGGGTACATTTATCGTTTTTCCCGTGACAGATGAAGGATTGGAAAAATCTTGCAAATGACCCTAAAGTGATGCAGTCCCAAAGCCACTCATTTTAAGAGTTCAAAAGGTGTTCTCTACTGCCCAATTATGTGCCACGTCTCCTGCTCCTGTGAAGGACTCTGGGCAGACAGATGCTACATGTCGGAACCTGTTCTCCTGGTGGGAAATATAAGGACATGAAACACTTGTGGTGTTATGTTGAACTGGTACCAGAAAGTTGCACCGCTATTGATTCTCAAAGGATGTCATCACTAAATGGTGAAGTGAAAGATCTAATAATAGAAATGAATCATCATCAGTTTTAACAAGTGTAAGAGACATCCTTGGATAAATCTAAGAGAACTCGAAGCCCTTAATTGTTTCTGTGGGACTTGTGACTAGATTTCCAACTTGTTTCTCAGAGCATAATCCATTGACTGAGGGGCATTTGGTTTTCAACAGGTGTCATTTGAAATGACCACAGAGGTGATGTGTTAGTCACGTCTGTTACTGTTGGTGAAATGCTCACCTGGCCTCAAACGTTTGTCCTGAACACCAAACCACACAGTGTACAACAGTGTACACATTCCCTGTGGGGAGAGAGCAAAACATAACAGAGGCAACAGATTGTGACCACAGCTTACTTAAGAAGATCACACCGGATAGCACTGAAGACCTCCTACATCTTCCAAAACTTCCAGGGTTTTTTAAAAGCTTTTGGTAAAGATTTCACTTGGTGTGATTTTCGTTGAATTCTACATCACTAAATGACTGTTTGTTATTGGTTTGTATATGTTCCGTTCATCCTGTATGTGATATTAATGAGCTGTCAGTACACCTACAGCGCAGCCCTCGGACCCCCATGAAATCAAATCTCCTCCCAGCTAGTTTACTTTTGTCCTCTTGGAAAGCTAACGGAAGGCAGCGAGCGTGTCTGCATGTAAAGTAGATGTAGGATGCTGAGTGACCCTTCTCCGTGTTGCGTCATGGCAGACTTACAACGTGGTGTGGTCGACTTCTAATCAATGGGACGGCCTGTATTTTTAGGAGGTTGTGTGCTTAGGCTGTGTTCTTATCGGATCTACGCCCGTTAGTCCTGTCATTGGAGAGCGATGTCTGCGTAAACCCATTCACCGCGGCCGGCACGACTTTGTCGCGATCACGTCTGAAGTTCTTGTTTTGTCAAGTTCACTAAGACGAGGAGGTAATATCTTAAGCAGGATCGTCATAATGAGCCTTTATCTGTCAAAGATTTCTTACATCACGTCTTGTACATAAAAGACAGTATAAAGGATATTATGTAACTCCTAGTGACCACTTTGATCCTTCTTACAGGCCCCATGAGGGTAATATCCTTTAAAAAAAAATGCATTCTTGAAAGCTTATTAAGATGGAAATATTCTTTGCCATAGTGCATGCAGCACAATCTAGCATACTTCCTACAGATGAGACAGTTATTACATGCAGATGAAGTTTTTCTTTTGTGAAATACCGGGTACTCAGCATTACTCTCATGTACATGTAACTTCTGCTGTCTTTCCAACATCATAATAATGGCAACCATAGCTGATATGTTATACATGTATGTGTATAGAAGGCAGCAATACCAGAACAGTGACAATGTTTGGTAAGTTGACAGACATGTTGACGAATGTTTTCCACTTTTCCTATCAGGAATAGACTCCTGTCACATGGTGGAACTGGAAGTCAGTCTGTAGGTGAGTTTGTGCCGGTGACACCACATGCGGGCTTATCTGGCCTAAAGCTTCGTATGTTTCTTTGCACAGCTCCCCTAATTGTTGACTACTGATACGCAAATATATTCTGTATGCGCAAACTGCTCCCTAATCCTACCCTGCTTTCAACATCTCGAGTCCGTTGGTGGTGCAGACGCAGACATGTGGAAATGAGAGAACTTTTCTCTCGTCATTACGTCCCTCATTAGGGCCACACAAACATGAGTTTTAAGGAAGGCATCCTTTGTAAACCTTGTGCCTAATGAGAGAAGGTATGAAGCATTTTCTGGAGGATTTTGATGATATAAATTTTTGGAAAAATTTTCTCAGTGGCAGTCACGAGACATTCATCCTGTGCTTGTAATGAAGAGCAGACTTCTCAATTTTGAAACACTTGTTACTGTGGTGTGCATACTATGTAATACATTTCTTACTATCTGTCTGAGGTGACCATTATTTCTTTTCCTCACTCTATCGATATGGCTCAGATTGGTCAAATAGTTATACTGTACTTAGAGACGAGGAAAAGAATAAAACATTTGTTGTTCTTCATAAAAGCATGAAGTTTTGTGAAGTTTGATATTCTATTAATCTCAGGACACCTTTATCATTTATTTTTCAGGTGGGACCCTGGCCTTGTTGGTACCTTAGCTGTTCCTGTAGGGAGGCAGAAGATGGTGCACCAGTGCCAAGTTCATGGTCACAGCAACAGGTCCTTCCCACTCTGGCTGCTGCTGTACCTGGCAGGTCAAAAGGCTTTGAACTTCTAACATCAGTCAGCCACCCCCCACCTGGTAATGGCGTCCATATCAGGTCATCCATCATGGAATGAACAGCCAGCGTCAGCGGACATGTTTACACTACCCCATCCTCAGACGGACTGACAGAACACAATGGTAAGTGTCCGGCCATCAGGGCTGCCAATCCTGCCTTGCTTTTGTAGCAGGTTGAGAGAAAAGGGACAGCAAAAGGGCACTATTAGGACGGGATAATGTGACAATGTGTGTTTGTTTGCCTTGAGTTAAAAGGCAGGAGTGTTGATGGCGCAGGTAAGCTGTGAGGCGGGGGTGGAATGGAAAGTCTGGGATATCAGTAATCCTGCTCCTCTGTCCTACAGGAGGATCATCTGATCCTCTAAACATAAGCCTGAGTTTATGTGGGCAGAGTAACAATATCAGAGCCTGGAGGTTAGCGGTGGCTTTCTTACCTCCTCCCATGCTTAGTCTAATAGCATTACTTCTTCTGTCTTAAAGAATGAATGTGCCTTCAGTGTGGTAAAGGTAAGCTGGTCTGACAAATCACTTACAGCTGGAAATGGGAGGGTCACATTAAGATGTAGTTTAAAAATATGTGAGTCTATTTTCTATTGATGAATAAAGCAGAAAATAAATACCACTCAAAAGATGCACATTTTTGCATCAGTAGCAGTGCATGGCACACTTTATTCTCATTTGCTGCTTAGGTAACATTGAGTCACACAAGTAATAAAAATCTTTACAAATAAAAGTTTACAATTATCAAACCTCTCTATCTTACTGAGGCTTATAATGTAGTACAATTTTGCACATCAACAGAAAAATGAAGTCAACTACGAACATCACAGCATGTTATTATGTTCTATGTGTTTGAGGTGCACAGTTACAAAACTCGTTGAGAACACTTGGTTAAGTGAGATTAAAATACACAGCAGTACATATATGTTTTTACCTATAAAATACATGGTTAGTTCCTTCAAGACTTAGTCTTCACTTGGTAACTAATATGTTACAACACTATGAAGTCAGAGAGACAAAAACAGAGTCATGCATAGTATATATGACAATATACATTGTACAAAGAATTCACAACAGGATTCCTGGGGAAGGGGCAAGGTGTGTTCTGATGTACATGTATGGCTTAGAGGTATGGTGGCAATGTGGAAATGTGGAAGTCTTCCACGTGAGTGTTATGAGAAATGGCAATGGCTTGTGTTCAATAGAAGGAAAGGTCTGAACTTGCATTGACATGACTGGTGGTCCAAACAGAAGTGTATGGGATTTACATGTACTGCAATCATGTTAGCAGAAGATCCATTAAAAAGAGTCACAAGGATTGGTGTTGGAGACAGAAGCAGGATTGGCTAAGATGTGGAAGAAACCTACATGTACCATAATACATGTTTACGAAGTAAAAAGTGACTTCTTCCATGATCACAACAAGTTTACATGTACAACAGTTACTGCAGATAATACTCCTTGAGTCAGTATGTAATGTTAGATGACTTAGCAAAGAATACAACCTATCCAATGTATTAGTTCCATACAATACATCAATCTACATATCTAGACTATAATTTTTGTACATGTTAAGCAGAGCATTTTTTAAATGTAGACACTTGGAAGACATGAATAATAAAGTACTAAATGTATACATGTATATTTACATATTTCTACCAGAAAAGATTGTATGAATGAATACTATTTTGGCAAAGGAGAAAATTTGTGGCTTAGGCTAACCTAAGAAATCTCTATTGAGCCAGCTCCAAGTCTGTATGTACAAGATTCCCAACATTTGCTTATTTTATACAAGAGAAGTTTTGTCTGAGTTACAGAGGGAGATCGTTAGATTTCCTCGTCTCAGAAAGGAACAACATCCATCAAGGCACTTCTGGTATTCCTGATTATTTCCTCACCTGGCTGAATGTTTTCTTGTAGTGATTAGTGACAAGTTTGATAACTTCTGGGCTGGCAGTTCTGAATCTTAGCAGTTTTTACTTTCTGCCAAAACATTTCTCACCAACCTTTCCAGGTTTGATGATAAAATGGTTCTTTTTCAGAAAAAGCTGACAGACCAGCCCTATTACCCATCCTCCCTGGTAGGGGTGAGAAGACGGCCCAACTTTGGAGATCTCTCTGGAAGGTACATGTATATTGTGCAGCATACAAAACATTTATAGACAGTACATGTACTTCAAGCTTTAAGGAATAGCACAGCAGATTACAAGTCATGTGTACTTATGCCTATTGCCTGTCAACAGCATTCCGTTACCTTAGGTTCTTATTAGTTCCTATTGCATATCCAAATCATTGACATAAGGTCGATAAAATCACAGGAACATAATTGTGTACATCATATGCTGAGAGTTTGTACATCATGACTGTGAAGGTTCTCAGCTAAGGCACTATCAGCCTCAACACTGTCTCACACACATCTTTGGCTCCTACTTGACCTTGATTCCTATGTAATACACTGATTAGCTCATCACTTGAGAAGTATAGACATTTACAGCTTGAGCAATACAAGGCATTATTAGTTATTATAGTCAAAGCTAAGACGATGTTTATGAGACAGTAATAAGGCCGTGTTGTACTACTGCATAGCTCTCCCTGGTTGCTTGATTTGGCTTGAGCAGCTCGTGCAGTGCCATGACAGTACATCTCACATACTAAGGTAGCTTGTTGCATAAGATTCACTACATCTATTATACATGGAACTATAGCAGCTAATGAAATCTGTGTTCCTTATGTCTTCCGTTGTTTTCAGCTTAATTCTTGATTGGTCAACTTTATGTTTCTACTTCCTACTTTGTATCTGAATCTTTAGGCTTCACCTACTTGATAGTTCACAATACAGCTTCATTATTATGTAACTCTATTGATGCCTTATCTGAAACTTTGTCAATCAGTAGCTATTCTTAGACTAGCATTTCACTGCTGAGTTAAATTTTTATTGTATTCTTCTTATCACATACTTTAAAGTTCGATGAATTCACTCTTTCCAGCTTGGAGTAAAATATCCTGGACAGTGGTTGACCTTGCTTTCTAATGTCATGATCAACAGATTCGACCTGCATTCAACACAGAAATTCTGAGGATAGTAGTTTGATGCAAACAAGTTTTTCCTCTTGAGTGGAGTCCGGTTTACCTACCCTGTCCTTTGTGTCGCAGTAGTGGAAGACAGCTGACCACAGGCCCCCTTTTTCTTCTCCTTCCTGCACAAAAATAACAAACAAAAGATCATACATTACTCATACAGTTGCTGGCCACCTATTCCTTATTTCATCACTTTGCAGCTAACACAGGAGTCCATACTGTGTAGGAAAAATACATACATGTACATACATACAACATGTTAGTGATGTGGAAAGCATGTTTGTTGTGTTGTGAGTGTGGTGTACATGTACATACTACTGACAGGTTGTAAAAATGTATGTTACTCTTGTTTGAATCTTCCTCCTGCAGACTTGAGGTGAGTGACCAAACCCTCGGACTTCAAACCAACTGTTATCGGCCATCCCAGAGACAGACTAAACTACCAGGTGGATCAACACCTTCCCAGAAGACACCAGGATGTAGAGATTCTCTGAACGTGTTCAGGACCGACCTATTTGTCTCTCAGGTGAAACAGAGTTAAGCACAGACTGAGAATATAAGCCATTGTCACAGTTCTCCTGTCACCTTGGGTGTCGGCTGGGAGCTCATAATCCTAAGAGCGGTACAAATCAGATTAAGGGGAAAACTTTCATCCTTGTCTAGTCTAATCTGTCTGTAACAACAAAGGATGGGTAATCTTCCTTCTTTGTCCTAAATCAGACTGTAGTGCAGTGTCAAGGTAATGGTGGACCCTTTAAGGAGTCTAAAGAAGGACACTTCAAGATGGTGGGATTTAGGGAATCACAAGAGATGGTTAGAGTCCATCACCTTTGACTCAAGTTTCCTTCCCACTCTTTAGTGTCTTATCCCATGATCCAAGTGTGTGAGCAATACTGATCACACCAGGGCACACTGTCATTGACCGCAATACTCGTAAGTAATCCTCAATGTTTATTATTTCCAAGCAGAGGTGCAGGACAAAAAGAAATAATTTTTTAATGATCAGTTACCTGTGCTTGGGAATATACAAATGTAGCAGTCAGGAAGAGGAATGTAACTGTTCAAAACTAATGTTTCCTATTTAAATACCTGGTATCTACTTGAAGATTTAAGATGCAATTCTAAACTTCTAACAAGTCTAACCTTTCTCCCAGCTGCCTTACCTGGCACCAACACAGATTTGGCACCACAAGGCTAGCTAGTATGGGTAAAAGGTTAAAAGAACTGTTGACTTTTACCAGGGACGACAGTGGAGCATGTCTGTTTCATCACGATGAACAAGATTCTGCAGTAAGTTAAGATAGTCCCATGGAGAGGTTTGTGGATGGAAGATGTTGTGATGTTGACAGACATGTGGACAGCTTCTTTTCTGATGTCTCCTCTTGTTTCAGAAAATGTCATCACCTTTGCACCCCCCATTATGGGTCCCTACCAAAGACAAGATAAGAGCCAAGGCTGCTGCAAAGTGACCAGCACTGAGTGTGCCTGGTCTTACCCAGGACAAAGGATGGCAACCACATGTGAAGATTCCTATCAATCTGCTTTCACCACTTGTGGCCCTTTACATTTTGCTGCTACCTGCCTGACTGGGCTGGACCAGACAGTTCCCCAATGGCTGGTTGAAATGATGTCAACGTTGATGCACATCATGGATCCCTCTGATGCTCAGGGAACTAACCTAGCTTTTACAGAGTTCTCACAGTTGATATCACCTCTGAATATCACTGAACATTTGAGCATTACTCACTTTTTGCATGTAAAAGGATGAAAACACAGGTTAGCTAGTGTAACCTCTGACTACCAATGGTCTTATACTTCTGCCAGTGTTTCTCAACAGCCTCAGTAACTACATGTATAACTGTTGTTTTCCTCCCCCAGCAAAATTCAGAGTTCCTATATTAAGACGGTTCCGACCGGTTCCAGTCCATTTGCACCTGGCTCCAGGTGTCTCTACTTGCCCTTTCGGCCACCCCAACACCTGATCAACCTTGTCACCACCTTACAGGATTAGGCAAATCTCCCTGGTAGGGAACAAAAGACACAGTGGTGGAAATATAAACCACCTGAATGTACTGTGGATATTGCCAACTCTAAATGAGCGAGATCACTGCAGTATGTATGTCCTAGGGTACGCTAAACTTTTCCTGCGGCTTAAATCTTGGGGGAGGGCAGGAATGTAAAAAGCAGTTTGTTATGACGAAGGGTGGAGATTTCATAGTGGAACCTGGAAACAGATTAGCCTAAGCTCTCTTGATTGATTTTAAGGTCACAGGAAAGGAGACTTTTTTTTCAAGAAGTTCAAACTACACTTGGCTGAGAAGCAACGATTGTTCAGGTGTGATATGAAACAAATTTACATCACTTTGGAAGAAAAAAATGTTCTTAATGTTCTCATAACCTCAAATTGGCTGATATTACCATTCTCCCCAGAACTTTCCTGGCACAGCACCTGATTAGTGTGGGAGGGGGGTCCCATACCTGCCTATAGGCCTGACATAGTTGGAATATTGCTTGTGGATCCATCCGGTCTTCTGTGTAGTCCCTAGTGATGACAACAGACAGGAAGAACTACAGGAAGAACTACAACTCTACCTGGCAGCAATTTTCAAGGCTGGGAAAACACGCAAGATCTCTGTGTGTATCTATATGTCCATGGCTCTACCAGGAAACACACATACACAAAAGACACAAGAAGACAGTATTAGCAGTTGCTATGAGCACCAAGGGAACCTGTCATGTCCAATGTCACAAAAGGAGGACAGAAAAGTTAGGTATCAACCGGATTAGATAATTGGCGAGGTGATTAACTGTCTTCTGATCCAATAAAAGATCCTTTAAAAGATCCCTTCTTATCCCTGTGATTATTGCCTTGTCTACCATTGTTCAATAATAGAATAGGTGATATTGAACAGAACAGCTTTATCCCATTATGCTCTCTATCCCTGCCTGACCTTACAGTACAGGGTGAGACCAGACCTCACACAGCTATACTTATCACACATCAGCACCAGTAATGACTCCACTCTGCAGATATCCAACTATATATCCTAAGCCATGGCTTGTGATAAGGCTGATTTACTACACTGTGGGTGGAAGTGGGTTCCACACATCAGCTTCTCTGGACCCTCTCAGTCTGGCAAGGAAATGCAAAGCAATTAAAAGTCTAAATCATCCCTTTAACTGGAACTTAAAGTTATGAAGAAGTTAATATGACACATATGTATACAACACTGTGTGTTGTGTGTGTGTGTGTGTGTATACCATTCTTGGCATTAAAACAACAACTATATATAGCATACAAATGTAATGTGTTTTTATATCATACATGTATAGTCATAGACTCATACCTCCTTCCCACATCTTACATTTGTAGCTGCAATAGTACAGGTCAGCATAGACGATTGAGAAGATATGTATGGGTACCAATAATAAATTGGTAAACAAAAGGCAATGGAGCAGAAAATCATTTTCATACACCCCAGCCACTAACCTAAGGAAGCCAGACATACAATCTACCCCTCACTGTATCTAATCTATCCTGAGTCAATTACCTAGATATGGCCTAAGGACTAATCCCTGCCTTATAGATACATGTCCTGATATGGAACAGATGTGGGGGTAGATGTGTCCATTTTCTGTGGCTCAATCTTGTACAAAACAACTGTCCTTGGTACACTTTCTACAGGTAGATGGGTGGCAAATTGCCAACAATGGTTGTGGTTAGTGATCATGCCTCTATCCAATGCATGATCACTAGCCCCCCTCCCCCAGTTCAAGCTGCCCACTACCTACCCCCCTCCTCTTGTCCCTTCACTCTGACCTTCACATACGGCTCTCATTATCCCAGACTGCCTTTCATCCCTGCAGCCAGGCTAAGTGCACCTTCCCATTATCCCCATTACAGGGCTTATCAGGACCACCTACTCAGGTTCAGCTCTGCGTCAGACGCAACACGAACCAGCTTAGCACTTCTCCAACAAGGTTACCTGAACTTGGGCGGGTCAGACACTATCTACAACTTACCTACAATAACAACAACTGTTAGTTTTAAGTAAGTCTCTTCGTTTTTCTTAAAGTCAGACGTCCTAGATACAACACTGAGTCTGTCAATGTCAACCTGGACAAATAGCCTAGCTCTGCAGAGTAAACTCTTGCTGCAGTAATTGGTACTTTCTATCTTCTTTACTTTTGCAAGATGTTTCTTTTTCTTCTGCAGTCTCTTATAACAAAACTGCCAATTTTAAACCTGGTTGTATTAAGGCATTTCTAATTAAAAGTTTTGTTAGGCACCTTCCTGCTACTATAGCCTTTTGCCATTTTGTGCCATTGGGAGGCAACAAGCTAGTTAGAAAAGACAAGGGCTAAAGAGTTTATAAAGACCTCATCATAATTTTAAGCTACCCCATCCCAAACTGTCAAATTGGGCCAGTTTAAAAATAGATTTTGAATGGGAAGGTCAAGGTGAATGTGCCAACTTAACCCTAACTCGTAAATCAGACTAGCCCAAAGTTGGAGCAAGATAAGGTCCTGGGGGATGTGTGTTGTAGAAACAACCTTTCACCTTGACACCTTGAAAGATGTTCTCTATTCCCCGGGGAGACCCATCCTCCTGACAGCCTCCCTCCAGACATCAGCACCTGATCACCATTAGCCCTGCACATGCTGTAACCCCAGACATCACAGCAGACATCAGCACCTGACTGAGATTAGCCCTACACATGTAACCACATCCCTGCTTCCTGCCATCAGCAGGGCCTGCCAGTCTGGAGGAGACAGGAGGTGTGGCCAGCCACATCAGTCATTCTGTCAGGACAGATCACTGCCAAACCACAGAGCAACACACTGACATGATAACATCTATGGCTAGATAAATAAGTAGGGCCTTTGGCCAGGTATATATATATATATATCTATCTATATATCTATATATCTATCTATATATCTATATATCTATCTATATATCTATATATATATATATATATCTATATATCTATATATCTATATATATATCTATCTATCTATCTCTATCTATCTATCTATCTATCTAGGAACTGTTGAATTTGTTTATTTGTATTCACTATTGCATCTACAATGGAATTTGGATTCACATTTTGATGCC